ATTTAGCTTTGGAAATGACTTTTAACAGTTTCTTAGAAGAGCAAGCATATTTATCATACTATCCTGCAATCTCACTCTTTTGTATTTAGCAAGAAAAAGAAAGGCATCTACACACAAAGACTAGTACACCTATGTTCATAACAATTTTCTAACAGGCAAAAAAAAAAAAAAAAAATTGGAACAACCCTAAGTTGATGAACCAGTGAACAGATAAACAATGTGTCTGTGTAATGCAGTATTACTCAGCAGTAAAAACTGTCTAATTATGAAATATATAACAATATGGATGAATCTCAAAGTAATTAAGTGCTATAGGCAAGACACAAAGGATTATATGTTACAGATGGCTTTATCTATAGGAACGTATGTATCAGTCATTGCCAGGGAGTTTGGGAGGTAGACTGCAAAGAGATACTTAGGGCATTTTTAAACGTAATAAATGTTCTATAAAATGGTTGTGGTGATAGTTACATGACTGGACACATCTGTCAAAAATTATCAAATCATATACCTAAAGCTGGTGAGTTTTACTGTATGTAAACTATATCTTAATAAAAGTGGTTACCAAAAAAGTGAGATTTACATCTTATGGTACCTTACAATCACAAAAAAGAACCTTAAAACAAGCACTCTTAAGTAATAAATTCAAGCATTCCCTACACACACACACACACACACACACACACAAAATCAAGCACAATTAAAATTTGGGGAAAGATACCATAGGAAATACAGGAGAGAGTGTTTTCATCACTTTCGAATTTATCTTAAAAGAGAAATAAAACCTGGGATTTCCAAGAACCTATCTAAATCTTAGCTATAGAAAACTGAATCATAAAAAGAGACAAATTACAAAGTATATTATTCATCTAGACAACTTTAGATGTAAACTTTAACAACTTTAGGCTACAAATATTTATTCACTGGGTTTCATAATGCATTTCAGTAGTGTTTTAAATTATTTTCAAATTATGATTTTCTAAAACAAGTATTTTTAGAACATAATACAGTTTTCAGCAACAAAATTTGTGGTGAATTACTCACAGAAATTGAAGAAAGATGTAAGGGAAGAATAAAAATTCTGGTGTACATTCTGCTCTCAGATGCTTTGACAATACTATTGCACTGCTAGCTGTAAAGTACAGTAGTGCAATAAAGTCAGAGCATTCGTTAGCAGTAATAGGTAGGTAAGGATCACAAAAGCACCTTAGATCAGTTGAAGCTTCTGTACGAAAATAATTTAAAGTAGGGTTGCCATATTGGACAGAAGATATCCAAAACCTAAGAACATTGACATCAATGTTAAAAAGAGAAAAAAAGAATAGGACTTAAATATCATTTGAATATTGTATTTTCTTTACTAACTTATAATTCATCTTCACATAGAAGCATGCATAGACATAGGAAGGAATTTTTTAAAATGTGTTCTAAACTTTAGATATTATTAAATGGGTATTGTTAATATTTTAAAACTGATATGATATTAACTAAACCAGTTATAATTACTACTTACAACAAAGTCATGAAAAAAATTTTTGTTGTGCTGAGATTTGGTGGTTAGCTTCTCCATAGTAATTAATTAACTGCCAGTCTTTTGATTATGACTCTCAAACAAAACAAATGAAAAGTAAAAATAAAAAGTCTCTCAGGCCCTCCCTGGTGGCGCAGCAGGTTAAAGCGCAGCACTGAGAATCTGAAGCCACTTCCGCATGAGTTCGATTCCCGCCTGCAGCCTGCCCCGGAGGAGACCACATGGCGAGCCAGACCTCTCCTGGCCCGCCCGCTGCTCCCCTCAGCAGTGTACTTCGTCCATCTGCCTGTTCTGTTCCCCACTCTGTCTCTGGTGTAGCCTCTCACCGCCCCTGAGCCTCTGGCCTGTACCCCAGTTCTGTATGAATAAATAAATAAATCTTAAAAAAAAAAAAAAAGTCTCTCAAATTCTATATACTCAAACTACCTCTCTAGAATCTAAATGACAATATAAAAATCACTTAACCCTGGTCCTCCCTGGTGGCTCAATGGGTTAAAGTGCAGCACTATGAAGCCCTCCAAAACTACTGCAGTTGGAGTTGGAGTCCCCACCAGGCAGGTGACCCACATGGCATGGCAGACCTCTCCTACTCCATCAGCTGCTCCCCTCAGCAGTGTATTTCAGTTAATCTGTCTGTTCTACTCCCCACTCTCTCTCTGGTGAATCCTCTCACCTCCCCCCCGCCACACACACACCTCTGGCCTGTACCCTATAAATAAATCTTTAAAAATATGAAAAAAGCACTTAAGCTTTAATTTCTGTCTGTTTGTATCAAGAGTTTACAGGCCACAAGAAATCAATGTGTCTAGGACACAATTAACTCTCAGTGAATTCTATGGAAGGAGATATTAAAATTTCAGCTAATACATAAAATATAGAAATATAAGAGGAAATCTTTTAACCTTCCCCTTCCCCCATAGGTAAACTACTCAAAACTCAAATGTAAACCCAGAAATAGAAAAAGTTTCATACTACACTACTTTGTGCACAATTAGTGCTAACATGAAAGGACACTAGACAAATAACACTCAATCAGTGAGAAGAAAAAAAGTTAGAGAACAAAGATTACCCTACAATGAGCTTATTATGCCATTAATAATGTTGATTGATGAAAAAGTATTTTCCATTATTTTCACTAGCCTTCCTTTAGATGCTCTGGTTCTGCTATTTAGTTGGATTGAGGCTACTGTGAAATGGTCTCACATTCAGGATAGCTAGAATGTGAATGTTGCACTTCTAATTGTAGGCCACATAATTCAGCCATTGTATTATTTCAAAAATGCTAAGTTTTAAAAATAAGTACTTAAAGGAAAAATGTTTGATTTTCTGAATTAGAAGTTAATATAAACAAAATATTAAACAAAAAAATTAAAGAGAAGCAAACTATCTCTACAAAATTTGATTTTTTTCCCCAAGGTTAAATCATATGAATGCTTTCACTTATTAAATATTCAACATCGGCTCTTAAATGAATCATTTATTCAAGTAGTTAAAGCCAAAAATCTGAGGACTGAACGGAAAACCATTTACCTTTAGAACCTTGGAAGCTAAACCAGTTCATAGAAACACCATTTTTTCTAAAAAGCACATAGCAAATCTGAGCATGAGACTAACCAATCAACACACAGCAATCCTAATAAAATAGTTGCAACACATTTTTATCTCTAATGATTATGTAAACATTAATAACTTGAAGGAAAACAAAATAGTAAAGTTTAAGTACCTGGCTTATATCTCAGAACTTTTCAAAACCCATATTTAAAAAATATATACATTAATGCTTTTCTCCTTGAAATAAAATGTGTTCGATCTGGAAAAGTCCTGTGAGAATAATGACTTAATAGCAAAGTCCAGAAACATTTAGTAGGTAGCTTAAAATTAAAACGCTAATTTGGGGAGTCGGATTAAAAACATAATCAGTATCGCTTTTATCTTACAATTAGGCAGAAATATTAATCTAGGCAGAATTCAGAATGGAGGAGAAAGGCAAGACAGTGCTAACATTTATGCCTTTTGATGGAATCAAACTACTCTTAACATGCTTTTGGTTTGTATTTAAAAAAAAATAGATAGAAATATCAAAACCTGGAATGTAAAGTTCATTATGACTGATTTGGAGGCTGCAGAAAATTCTTCTGTCCTCGGTTCCATCGCCCCCTCCCCCAATTCTCATTCTCTCTTTCTCTCTCTCTCTGTCTGTCTCTCTCTCTCTCTCTCTCACACACACACACACACAATTCTCATTCTCTCTTTCTCTCTCTGTGTGTGTGTCTCTCTCTCACACACACACACCCCAAAGAAAATTAAAAATAAAAATGTTTGAACAACGGAAGGTCTTCAAGTTAAATCTGTCAATGAGAAGCATTACAATCAACTAAATATCCTAAGAAAGTAACGACAGGATAGGTCATGGTCTCACATTTTCTGGGAATGGGGCTGATCAGGACTGGAGTTTCTTCGAAAATCACTACACGTGCAGATGTTAAAATGAACCAAGCTTCAGCTTTTGGAAAACATCACAGGCAGAAATGATACCTAAAGTGTAGTGTCACCGAATAACAGGGGGAGGAGAGGTGGATTGCAGAAATTCTGACTTTTCTCCTTAATCCCAATTTTCTTTACCAAAAACCCGTAGGAGTTCAAAGACAGGTGTTTCCTTCAAATCCCCCCGTTTTAAAATAGGTTATCTCTATTCTCAAAGTGGATGATGCATAGTGAGTAAGAAACGCAGAGGACAGAAACGGGGAGCAAAGAAGAGAAGAAAGTGCAGGCAATAAAGCTGGTCGTGTAGGGACAGGAGGCAGGAAATAAGGAGGACAAATGAAGGAAGGATCCGTAGAAAGAAACTAGGACAGTCAGACTCTAGCTTGGCACCCTAGTGCAGGCCGAGCAGCTGCGAGTATCCTTTCCAAACATTCGCCTCCGCCCACTACTTTTCACAAATGAATGAATTTGGGCAACTGGAGAGCAGCGTGCCTCGATCCAATCCCGCCTGCGCTCCAGTAAAGAGGCTCGCGGTTCAGATCCCCAAGGCTCACAGCTGGCCCAACCCAAGCACTGCAACCTCCGGGCAACTAGAAACTGGGGTAGCGGCTGCGTGACCGTAGTAACTTGTGCACGCAAGTCTAGCACAGCAGACTTTCTGACTTTCTCAGTCTTCCCGAGAGAATAGAAAGGGCTCGGCCCTAGATAAATTTCTCTTAGCGCCCTCCGCCCCCCGCATCTATTCCCCACCCCACCCTCTATGCTCCTTTCTTGAGATGCAAACGACCTCTTTCCCCTTCTCGGGGCGTATAGGGCCCGTTCCAGTCAAGTCTTTTTGGTGAAAATACACAGGAAGCAGTCTTCATCAGCCATAGTTTCTTAAAGGGTGGAAGGGTGAGGGCAAGGAACGAAGAATTCCAAGGCCCGCACCCTCAGCATCTCCCGCCATTTCCCTCACGAGTTTCCCGGATGTAACCCCTTCCCCCGAGGCGGTTAAGAGACCAGGCGGCGGCGACTCCCTTTGGTACAGAAGGAGAGAATTCGGGTCTGGTCTAGCCTTTGCCGTCCAGGGTTTCCAGCGATTCCAAGTTACATCCTACCTTGGAGACCATCGGAGAAATATTAATTATCTAGAAGATCCCCTTCACTTTACACTCACCATCAGTTCCAGCTTATCGACCTCCGCCTCCATGTTGAATAGTTGACATTCCTCAGGCCGCGGCGGCGCTTAAGCTGCAAACGGTACTAGCACTGAGGGTCCCTATTGGACAGCTGTCACTCATCGTCTCGCACTCATTGGTTCCCCCGTTTCTCCAGCTCCCGCCCACTGGCGACTGGGTAACGCCCCTCCTTATGAAACACCTTTTCGTATTGGACAAAAACACAAAACGCTTCAGGAGGATTGGCTGTGGTACATTTCTTTCTTTCCATTGGCTGAATCCGCATCTCTACTTTCAATTTGATCATTAGGACTCCGCAGAGTCGAGCTTACGATTGGTGAAAACGGAAAAAGAGTTAACCAATTACACAAACGCTTCCACAGACAGCTTTGGGGAAGCGACACACCTTCTTTCAAGCCTCCCCACCCCTCCGCTCCCGCCTTCCACTTATTCATACGGGAAGCGCCTCGGCTGTAATTGGTCAGAGTGTGGTGCTATATCAACCAATCAGAGCCGGTTGTGCTCCTACGCTACCCCGCGAGCGAATCATTTGGAGCCGGTGCAACCATTGGTCCTTCTCTGATGAAGTTTTAATTTTGAATTTTTCTTTATGGAGAGAGAGAGAGACAGCTAACGGGACTCCATTTAATCCCCGGGTTCTCAGACTAGTAAGTGCAAGGAGATTTCCTTTTATTACCCAGACTCGCTTCTTTCGTACCTGGTACTATTATTGTTTGTTTTCTTACGGTTTACGGGACGTGAGGGCTGTGGTTCTGAGGGGAGATGGAGCGAGGAAAGGGTTGAAGCTAGGGAAGAGTGATCGCCTGGCTCTACTTTAACTATAACTCTTTAATTAACACTCTGCAAAATATGTCTTGGAGAAAGGCATTTATCTTCCTTTTGCACATTTCTTTACATCTTTACCACTCAAATTGTGGTCCTTGCACCAACAGTGTCTGTCTCACTTAAAAATGGGAAGTAACGGACTCCACCTAGACCTACTAACTTAGTATGACTTTTTAAAATAAGAATTCCGTAACTTCCGTCCTCCCCTCACTCCAAGTAACTCTAATGCACATTAAGTCGTGAATACATTTTTCTTGTCGGGGAGTGTTACTAGGTTCTTTGACTTAATATCGTCCGATTCTGTGAGTGTCAATTTTTAAAATGTGCTTAAATACTGTACTACCCAAGGCTTTAGGAAGTTGCAATCTCTTTAAAGAAATAAAATGCTGCTCAGCTTAAAATATAAATTAAATATAAACGAGTACCAGAGATAGCCCTCAGATGTTCAAAAGTAATCAATTAAACTGGTAATCGAAATTGACTTTTAAACTGAAGCTGCTAATGGGAGAGTAAGAGAGTGCCATAAAATGTCTTTTAGAAAGATGGTAATGAAATGCAATTGCCATTTAGGTTGTTGCTACAGCTTATCATTTTGCAGGGTGGGGTTTTAATAGAAGCAGTGGTGCGGACTCCTGCAGAAGCTTGTGATTCTTACTCATTATTTATTGCATCTCCTACTAGAAATAGTTCTCTACCCATCTTTTAACCACTTAAAGATGTAGTGTGAGTTGAAGAATTACAAATTTTCCTCTGCAATTCAAGCATAGCCCTTAACTAACACTAACTAGTTAACTATGAGCAGGAATTAACTTTTTCATTCATTTATTGAATGAAATACTTGGTGATATTCTCTAGGTCTGGAATAACAAAAGTTGAATGAAATTTATTCTACCTTTGAAAAGTTTACAGTCCAGGGGATACAAACAGGGATATACATTACAAACATTACAATGTAATATAATCAATATTATAAATAAGGAGGGCCTCCCTGGTGGTGCAAGGGGTTAAAGTACAGCACTATAAAGCTATCTTCAACCACTACAACAAGAGTTTAATCCCTGGCCTGGGAGGTGACACCTGGTGTGGCAGACCTCTCATGTCTTGCCCAATGCTCCCCTCAGCAGTGTATTTCAGTCAATCTGCCTGTTCTGCTCTCCACTCTTGTCTCTGGTGAATCTCCTCACCACCACCCCCACCTCTGGCCTGTGCCCCAGTTTTTGTATGATTAAATAAATCTTTAATAAAAGATTATAAAAGGAATGTGTGTAAAATCCCATAGAAACCAAGAGATTTCCACCAGCATAAACTCCATAGACAGAGATTATGTTGGTCTTATAGGAATTGTATTTGAGCACTCTTTATAGTGCCTGGTAGATAAGAAGTTCTCAATAATTATCTGTGAAATAAAGAACAGAATATTGAAGGTTATATAAATGACCCCACAAGGAAGCAAGGCTGATAACACATATTTGCTTTTGGTGTTTGTTATACCTGCAGTACAAACTGTTAATCAGATGAGTGATAAGGCCCAAAGGACCATTGGACTTAAATTGTGAAAAACTCTGGAACACATGCTGAGGAGTTTGATTAATCTGGTGGGTAGACAAGGAACATCAATTACTTTTCAGGATTCTGTTTTTGTTTTAAAAAGCCAACTCTAGTAACAATGTAGGCAAAGACTGAAGGCAGCAGATTCAGACAAACCCAAACTGAGGAACATTCTCCAAAACAATTGGCATGAGCTTTTCTAATATATAAATATGAAGAAAGACTAATAATTATATAAAGATGCTGGGTAAGTGAGACCATTTGTCTTTCTCTTTATGGCTTATTTCACTTCATATAATTCCTCAAACTACATCCATATTATCACAAATGGCGAGAGCTTATCTCTGTGTGTGAGTGTTGTTCAATAGTATTGTACTTTTATACACTACATCTTTACCCATCCATCCATTGTCAAAAACTTTGATTACTGCACATCTTAAATGTTGTAAATAATGCTGTAATGCATGTAAGGGTACATATGTGTTTTCAAATCAGTGTTTTCATATTCTTCAAGTAAATACCCAAAAGTGAGATTATGGAATCATATGGCAATTCTATTTAGTTTTTTTAAGGAGGCTCCAAACTCTTTTCCTTAGTGGTTGCGCCAATTTTCACTCATACCAACTGTGCATGAGGGTTCCTTTTTACCCATACCTATCCAACACTTATTATTTCTTGTTTTTTTGATAATAGCCATTCAGTCTGTTGGCCATCTGTATGTCTTCTTTCTGAGATGCCTAGTTAGATCTTCTGAAATTTTTTAATTTGGGTTGTATATTTTGTTCAGTGGTATGAGTTTAGATATTTTGGGTATTAACTACTTGTCTGATACATGGTTTTCAAATATCTTCTATTTTAGAAGTCATTTTAACAATGGTTTCTTTTGCTGTGCAGCAGCTTTTTAATTTGATGCCTTCCCATTTGTTTATATTCTTGTTTCTCTTGCTGTTGGAGATGTATCCACAAAGACATCACTAAGGCTGATATCAGAGTTTATCACCAAAGTTTTCTTTTGTATTTTATGGTTTCAGTTATTATGTTCAAATCTTTCATCCTTTTTGAATTAATTTTTGTATATGGTGTAAGATAGTACACCATATTTCATCCTTTTGCATGTGACTGCTAAGTTTCCCCAACATTATTTATTGAAGAAATTCTCCTTTCTCCATTATATACTTTTGTCTCCTTTGTAATAAATTAATTATCCATATATGTGTGGTTTTAATTCTGTGCTCTTAATTCTATTCCATTGATCTGTGTGCCTGTTTTTAGTCTGATACTGTGCTTAATGTATAGATGGGTCATGTTTTTTTAATCCATGCAGTCATTCTATGTTATTTGATTGGAGAGTTTAATCATTTACATTTAAAATGATATGTATATATTAATTGATATTTTGCTAGTTGATTTCTAGTCAGGTTTATAGATATTCTCTGTTCCTTTCTTTTTCTCTCTTCCTTTGATGTTTTTCTTTAGTAATGCATAAGTTCATTTTCCTTTCTTTCTTTCTTTCTTTTTTTTTGTATTTTTACCATAATTTTTTGTTGTGTGATTACTGTAAGGGCCACATAGAAGACCTTATGTATATATCGACTTGTAGTGACTTGATAACTATTTATATTGCAACACAATCTAAAACTGTGCATTTTTTTACTCTCCCTACCACATTCATCTTTATAATGTCTCATTTTACATCATTATTACCTAGTTCCATGTTACAATTGCATGACTAATTTAAGTATCATTAGTTAATTTTTACTACCATTCTTCTTCTTAATATTGTACCAAAGATGACCCTCCCTGGTGGCCAACAGGGTAGGACAGGTAGGACACAGCACTGCAAGGAGCCTTAACCACTTCTGTGCGAGCCGGATCCCCGCCCTGGAGGTGACCCACATGGTGCTGCAGACCTCTCCTGTCTCACCCACTGCTCCCCTCAGCAGTGTACTTTGTTGATCTGCCTATTCTGCTCCCCACTCTGTCTCTGGTGAATCCTCTCACCCCCCCTGAAGCTCTGGCATATACCCCAGTTCAGTATGCAAAATAAATAAATCTTAGGAAGAAGGAGGGAGGGAGGGAGGAAGAGAGAAAGGAAGGAATCTCTTGACAATGAAATTCTGAAAAAAAAAATTGTACCAAAGGTATCTTAAGTTATTTTTATTTTTAAGTTCTTTTTTCATTTAGCTGCTATGTCTGGATGAGTTGTGTTGTTTTTTCCTCCAACTCACCTATTCATTCCTGTGCTTTATACAGTCTGCTGCTCTCTATTGTTATTGTATTCTTATGCTCTATGACTGTTTGTTAATATTCCTTAATTTATCTAGTTTATCTGTTCTCCCTTGATTAATGAGAATCTTTATAACCATTATCGTTGAATTCTTCTTCAGACAGTTTGCTTATCTCATAGCTTTAGGTTCTTTTTCCAGAGTTTTGGTACTCTTTCATTTGAGGAGATTGTTCTTGATTTCCCATTTCACTTCACTTCAAAACTCAGCTTTCCTCTGTTCTGTCAAGTCAGTTACCTTTCATCTATCTGCTTTCTATTTCCCATAATTTAGTTGATGTCTATCATCTTCAGTAATACCTGCCCCCATCTTTGTCCTATGGGTTTATATATATTTCATACCTTTATGCCTTTTTTCATATTATTATAAAAGGGAGGGCAACAGTAGTATTCTGATAAATATGCAATAAGTATATATGCACATATTTTTAAATATTTGTTTATTTATGCATACAAGAACTGGGATTCAAGTCAGAGGTATAGGGGGTAAGAGGATTCACCAGAGACAGAGTGAAAAACAGAATAGGCAGACTGACTGAAATACACTGATCAGAGCAGCAGGCGGTTCAGGAGAGGTCTGCTATGCCATGTGGGTCACCTCCCTGGGTGGGGATTGAACTCATGCTGCAGTAGCTGCAGCTAGCTTCACAGTGCTGTGCTTTAATCTGTTGTGCCACCAGGGAGGGCCCCCGAAATACACTTTTAAAATGTAATCTGTATTAAGGTTTCTTTTTTTAAGTCACTTTCTTTACACACAACAAAATAATAAGTACAAGCTTTTTTTGGTAGTGTTTTATAATATCTTTGGTGTAACTACTCCCATTGCCAGTTTCAGGTTTTCAATGTGAAGTCACTAAACGTGGGAACTGGGAAGAAGTCAACAATAACACACCATTCTATAGCATTTTCACTGTCTAGGTAATCAATATCAAGAGTATAGATAACAGTAAAATTATTAGGAAATGATGAGTTTATATATTAATTGCCTTTTAAAGTATAAACTGTTTAATTTCAAATTATATGATTATTTATAATGGTTGATGTGCTCAACAACTGACTCACAGATGTCTTGAAAGTGCAACAGTTGTTTTCACTCCCAGCACACTCCTGGAGAGGAGTTATACCTTGTATCTTGCTCCATTCTAAAGTCTATTTTCATAAACTAGGGATTGGTGGGCATAGGAAAAATGGAATAAGGAAGTCAGTTTTCTGAGTCAGCTTGATCTCTGACAAGACTTCCAGTGGAGAGAGGGAACAGAAAGTGAGGAATGCTATGTAAGAACAGATGGAAGGAAAAAAGAGAAGTTACCAAGGAAATGTTAGTTTCTGAGGAACCCGACCAATGAACCCTGGATCTTGGATGGAGGGTTCCAGTGACATTTCTCCACAGTAGGTTATGGGCATGTATTTGATGAGGTCTAGCCTTTTATTCAGTAGAAGGTTGCTGCTTCTGAGGCTTTAAAATATCTTCCTTCAGGGTAATTTTGTTTTGTGTTAGTTTTTTGTAAAGAATTAATCAATTCTTTAAACATCCTTTATTTTTGATAATCCTTGTTTGGCCTTCTTTCATTGTTTCAGTAGGAAGAAAAGTGACCTACTAAAGGTGAGTCAGCTAAGTGCTTTTTGGCATATCTCCAAAGTCTCTAGGAATAGTTAAGAAAATCATTCTGTTAATTTGAGACCTAGCAGTTCAAAAGATACCATCAGTAACTTTAAATCCTAGAAGGTCTGTTGACATATGTGCTGCCACCTATTGTCATTAGGGGTTCCCTTTGCAAGGTCAGAGCTATTGGAACTAGGCCGGTTCTGTTTTTTACAACCCACTGAGGATGGGAGGGGAGCAGTGTTAATCAGTGGAATCTGAGAGAGTGTAGAGCCGCATACCAAGTACTCGAAAGTTACTGGGTGAACACAAGTGGAATGAATGTGTATTTTAAAGGCTGATTGTTCCCATTCAAAGAAAGTTGAAGGGAAGGAGGCCCAACCTTTGAGACCATTTTCAGTTTTGTTCCTTGAAATAAGGACATCTTTGTTCCTAAGGTAGCCACAACTACAACCAGCACTGCCTTCAGGAGCTTCACAGGAAACTCTCTCTGACTTATTTTTTTTTTTTTTTTTCAGAAAAAGATCTGGATTAGAATATAAATATACTACATCATATTTTAGAATGTTTTAAAGTGAAGGTTTTGAAGCAACGATATGTTAAGGTTGGGATAATTGTTACTACCTGTACATCAACTATTTAATCTACCGTTATACCACAATGCATTAGAAAGAACATGGTCTTTGGAGACTTACTGGTCTGGTCCTCATATGTCGTTGCTTTGAGCAGATCACCTAATCTTTCTAAATTTCAGTTTATTCTTATATAAAATAGAAATAAGAATCCCCTTTGTTGGGGATACCTTACAGGACTGAAGTAATTAAATGAGCAAATATATGTTAAAGTACCTAAAAATGAATGGGCATCAATAAATGGTTAATTTTGTTTTGTCCACTTATTACATTAAAAGCTTCTAGTAAAGAAACTTATTTTTCTTTAATAATTAACCATAACTCAACTATCCCATTTTCTCTGTTTTAAGAAAGAAAAATTCACTTGATTTAATGAAGTAAAGCAAGGCATACAAAACAAAATTAGAGCCAGAGTATCTCCTAAAATAATTTAGGTTTCATTTTTTTCTCCACTTCTAAGATACAGCATAGTGACCTATTTTCTAACCAATGTGGCCATTACAAGACTGTTCACTTTGTGAAATATAAGTATTGAACTATATATTTATGTCTATATGTTTATTTTTAACTTTTATAGAAATCATGCGCAAGTTCAAACAACGAAGAAGAAAGCTAAAATCCAGAACCAAAAGATTATTCAGAAAAAAAGAAACCTCTCACATTCAATCCAAGCTAATTATATCCCCACCTCCACCACCTTCACCTGAAAGGTAAGGCACAAAGTGGAAGAGAGAAAATATTAAAGATATGATTCAGATTTAGCAAATAAAAATACAGAATACCCAGTTAAATTTGAATTTCGAATAAACAATAAAAAATGTGTAATATTGTCTCAGGTAACATTTGCAATGTAGTTACACTAAAAATTGTCCTTTAACTGAGCAACTTGAATCTATACTATAAGAATTCAAAGAAAGGAATTGTGTATTCCTTTGTTTTATCCTGGCTATAAATTCCATTAGGCTAGAGTTTTATTTTATATCTTATATTACTAATAAGTAACAACAAATACTTATTGAGTAAGTTGATCCCAGTACTCAATGAAGAAGTTGGCTCTAGATATCCTTTCTCCAGACCCATACTATAAAATTAGCTTATTTAATTAGAAATCTGGTAGTTTTCCATGAACTTATTCTCCATCTCACACAAATAAAAACACAGTGTTAATTATCCACTGAAGAACAATCTTACTGGGTTCTTTTGTAGTGATTAAAGGTTCTTTTTCACACTCATTGCTCAGCTCAGCAAACATGGACTCATATTGAAGTTAATAGCTTCTGGGTCTTGGGATTTTTTTGCTTGTTTGTTTGTTTCCTGAAATAAAATATATTATAGGCTTTGACCATGACAATATTTATGCAAGTTACTTACCACAATGTTTGCACAGTGTCAGAATGCATGACACATTCTACAATTGTCCCTATACTCTCACTGTCACTTTCTTGGGAGAATGATGGTAATGTAAGGTAGAAGAAGAACAAGAATTTTAAAAACAAACAAAAATCTAGTTTGTTTGATTAGAAAGAGTAGGAGTTTTTAATTTCTTTGTTTTTTTGTTTTTTTTTTTTCTACAGAGTGGTTATTTCTTCAGTAGATATACCCCTTAGCAGAAGCTGGCTAAGATCATCCTGGAACTTCAAATTTCCCAGCATCAAAGATACAATAAAACTTTGGGTTAATAGAGTATGGTCTCTGTACAACTGGTGCCAGCACTGTATAGCCCAGGTGTGTACTTGCCATTCCTGCTCTGTGTAATATAGTTTTCCGGCACACTTTCTGTATGTGTTCATGTGGGTGTGTGTGTTCTCAGGCTAGCACAGCACATTTTATCAGACTAAGCTCAGATAAAGTGAAATTATGGGGTCATGTCAGCTTGCATTCTACAAAATACACATCAAGCCACTTAATTGTCCCTTTCTCTTGTTCCTATCATATTGCTCATCAATTCAAGCTTTTTTTTTTTTCCACTGAAGAGTTTAGAAGTACTCAAAGATGCTATCTTTCCATCTCGTTTCTGCCACCGAGAACTTCACAGTCTCAAACAACGGTTTTGCATTTTGGAAAGTGAATTATGCAAACTCCAGGAAGCACTGAAGGTTGGTATTATTGAATATAAGGCAAGCCAGGGATTATTTACGGAATGAAGGAATTGTTCTCTTATAAGATTCCCAGCATACTTTTATTAGAAAGAAAAATGACTATAAGCAGTTGCTAGGCCCTGTCCCCTCCCCTCAGATCTATTCATTGAACGTTGGGGATTCTGCTCCATGGTTTAAGGGGGTGGACCCCTGCAGGCTGTATTTCCCAAACTCCTGGTTGTCAGTTGGTTCCAGGTTGTGTTGGGCTACCAGGTTTATTTTTCTTCACTGATACAGGCAGAAAAATCAAACTGTAAATATCCACTCTCTCCAAAATCCCCTATTCTCAATGTCAAAAGCTCAAGGAATAAACAATGTGTTCATTGATTAGTCTTTTGAAGAAAAGCTTCTGGCATTTCACTCCTGCTCCCAGAATTTATGCTTCAAGTTGAACCAGCCAGAGGGAAAAAGGCAAATCACTTCACTCCTGTAGGCCTGAGTTTCCCCATCTATAAAATTGGGAATGCCACTGGTAGTGAACTAAATGATCACCCTCAAAAACATTCAGCTCAGAGTGGTTATGTTCTAGCCTTTGGTCTTTTTATCAGTTCCTTGAATATACTACATTCTTGGCTATATTAAGTATTTTCCCTACTACTGGAAACTCTTTTTCCTTTCCTTGAGAAGTTTCAGTTTGTCCTTGAGATTATGGTTATTGCTCCCAATACTTCTCACCATTCATGTTTACAAAGAACTTCATGACTTTCATTGAGTACTTTTGTCCTGTGTATATTTAATGTCTGTCTTCTTCACCAGACTGTCAAGTCCTTGTAATAACAGACAGGGCAACATTAGATCCATACTGCCTGGCATTTGGCACACACAGAGAAAATATAGGAGTGAATAAATGTGTTTGTGATAAGTAAGAAAATAACATAATTCATAGAGTAAACCAACAAAGCACTCAATACATGTAGGTATTACTTTGATGACTCTCAACTGCAAAAACCAAATTAATCTGTTACTCATTTGTCAAATGTAATGTCTTCTTCCAGACCATCTCAGAAAATTCTCCCTGTTCAACTTGTGGTCAAATATGTCACATGAGTGGTCAATTCATAAATGTTCCTGCCAATGCTGTAACCACCCCTGGAGAATCCTGCACTGTTCTTCCTCCCACCCTACCACAGCCAGCCAGCCTTCTTCCTCCTCCTCCACCTCCACCCCCTCCACCACCCCCACTCCCTCCTCCTCCAGCACCTATAGCTCCTTTGCTGCTCAGAAAAACCAATCTCACCAAAGCACTTCAGGTAGGAAACAATTTAATAAGATTTGTTTTGGTTAGTGTGTAATACGTAAATAAAGCTATGTGGTTTTTTTTAAGGCTGGGCCAGGACTTTGATAGGAAAGCAATTATTCTGTTCTATTGCCATACCTTAATTATGACAGTTACTGTGTTTTTAAAAATTCAGTCCCTTGGTAACTTTAAAAAGCTAGATTTAGAAATGAAAGTGAATGTCTTTTAAGATTAAAAAATGGACGCCCCTCCCCCCCAAAAAAAATGAAACCCGGTAGACTGGAAGATTCCTTTCAACTTCTTAGCTTACCTTTTACCAAAAGGAAAACCTCTCTGAGAAACCAAATTAAGAACAGAAAATGACTTAGTGAATAAAATCAGAGAAAAAGAGTTGGTGAATCCAAGAGTAGAATTTCATTAGGATGGAAAACCAGTTTTCATACGAGTTTATCTGCCAAGAGGACCAGAATATTTGTGAATTGCTAAAATAGGCATGGCCCTTTAAAAAAAAAATCTGCTGAGTTTTCACTAGGGATCCATTTGACTTAAAATGTTTGACTTCTATTCAGAGTCTGTTGTTAGTTTTGCCAAAGGTATACTTCTTCAACCATGTATTCTTGCACTATAGGAACTGAGGCATCTTTTTAGGTAGTTCAGGCAGAACTTGACTTTGATTTGAAAAGCTCTCAACTCCTATATTATAAGGAAAATAAATAGTTATAGGTAACTAGTCCATCTCATTTAATATCAAAGTTTACATTTTGATAACTTCCTTTTCATAGTTTTAACAAGCACTGGCACTGAAAATGGACCATTCTTGGCATAGTTGAAAGAACAAGATAGTTTTTTAGGGTAAAGAAGAGTTAATTTTAAAGATTAGATTTGTATTTGACTAGACGTCATGGTTCCAGACTGAATTCTAACGTCTCCATGTATCTTAAGGCTGGACCATTAAAAAAAGATGCACCAATGCAGATAACAGTTAAAGATTTACTTACTGTGAAATTGAAGAAGACACAGAATTTTGATGAAAGGAAGAAGGTAAGATCTCATTGATTACAAACATGGCTTTCCGCTCTTAACCTGGTTGTCTTTGTGGAAAAAAAATTACATCTATGTATACAAGTCATTCAGAGTATTCTTTTATTTGGGTACTTTTGGATCTCCACAGCTAAATTTATATCCCATATTTATTTCATTAGGCAATTTTATCTATCAGCCATTATTAGTCTGAACAGGTAGAGATATATTTTTGAATAAAAATTTAGTACTGAGTATACTGGATAGAGCTTACACATACTCAACATGCAAATATTCATTGTTTTTAACATATTTACATTTTGAATGTTTTAAATATGCTTTTTTAATAACTTCTCATTTTACAATTAAAGCTTGTAACATCACCAACGGCACGGAATCCACTAGTTACTGTCTCCGACCTGCAACAGGTTACCCTGAAACCCAGCTCCAAAATGTTATCTACTCGAGTTACAAATGTCTTAATGTAAGAAACTGCATAATGTCATTCTCTGCTACTATTTAAAGGGGCAATTGGAGAGGAGGACAGGCAGGGCGGGGAGTGATGTAACAAGAACTATATAGGCTCATTGAAAATTACAACAAAGTTTAAAGAAAATAAAATCATCCCAATAATTCTAACATTGGAAATAGCCAATGTTATCATACTATTGTTTATCATTCTAGTATTTTTCTAGAAATATACTTAATTGCTTATTGTAAGATGTACCATTGATTTGAATACAGATAGGTAGTTACTATAAACATTTTATATTTTATTTTAAAGGCAACCTGATTTCAGAATTAATAAAATATGAAAACTGACATGTCTTAGAATCAAGGATGATATATATGTGTGTATCTATCTACATGAAATCATATTGTAGAAAGCTAGCTTTTCTCACTTATGTGTGATGAACTTTCATCCATCTTATTAAAAATTAGTTTAAATATTATTTTGAGTCTTTCTAGATATATAGTTTTTATGTAAATTTAATAGATTAAAAATCCCATATTGGGACATTTAAGTTGTTAATGATCTTTTGTTTCTATAACTCTTTCATGAGCATACTTGTCCATCATCTATATTCAGAGCTGAGTTTTCTCTAAGATGGATTCTTTTATAAGTAATTACTGATTTCAGAAGTATTACCTATTAAGGTGATTAAATCACCTTACATCCCTGTTAACATCTACTATTACTCATTAATGTAACAAATAGAACTTATTTCTAGGATATTGCCTATGAAAATGACTGCTTTACTTTGAGGAATAAGAAAACCTTGGTAAACTAACTTTTATATCTTTGTTTTATCAGTACTCCTAGTAAGAGTCAAATAGATCTGCGGAAACTACTTAGGAAAGTTGATGTGGAGAGGTAATACACACTTATGTTTATTTATACTTTTAAAATTCATTTGATAAGTTGGCATAAAACACAGCTTCTTGGTCTCCCTGGTGGCCTAGGGGTTAAGTCTCAGTTGCCACTATGGTCTGAATTAGATCCCAGCCAGGGAGGTGACCCACATATGGTGCAGCAGACCTCTCCTATCTCACCCACTGTTCCCCTCAGCAGTATATTTCAATCTGCCTGTTTTGCTCCTCGTTCTGTCTCTGGTGAATGGAATCACCCTTTGCACCTCTGTGCTATACCCTAGTTCTTCTTATTTACAAAAGTAATTAAGTGAAACCATCCACAATGCCTCATATCTTCAAACTTTTGCAGAAGCCCAGGTGGAACACCACTTACCAATAAAGAAAATATGGAAACAGGAACTGGATTGACCCCAGTAATGACCCGAGCCTTGAAGAAAAAATTTCAAGTAAGCTATTAGAAAAAGAAATTTTGGTTTATTTTCTTCAAAATCATTTATTTAGAATTATAATCTAAAGCCACTTTCTAAATAATATTTTTAAACGATACCTTATATTTCACATCACTTACATATTTAGACTTAATAAAATTCTTTGAAATAGGTAGCATTATTATCTCCACTTTAGAAATGAATGTTTGATTTTATTAACTCCTTTAGTAATTATTTACTAAGCACTTCCTATTTGCCAAACACTGTGCTGGAGTAGCTGGATATCGTAATAAGTAGACACAAATTCACTGTCTTAGAGTTTTCATTCTAGTGAAGTAAATAGGCATTAATCAAATACTCATATATTTGTGTAATTTTATATTAAAATAAATGATGTAAAGGAAAAGAACAAGGTTCTTGTGGGAACCCATAGATGTACTTACCCTAACCTAGATTAATCTAGGAAGGATTCCCTTAGGAAGATACAGGTGAAAACTGAAATGAATAGGCATTAATTATGAAGGGTACTTATGGAGTGTGGGGGTGGTTCCACCTGAGATATCAAGGAGGAGTGAGTTCTAGGTAAAAAGAATAGCATAAGCAACGTTCTCATGGTGGGAATGATATGCCTAGCTAAGGAAATAAAAATGAGCCAGACTGCCTGTAACAACGAAAGACAAGTACAGATAGGAACTATTCATGCAGAGTTGCTAGGAAAAGGTCTTGGCAGTTTTTTTCTTTGTCACCTGCAAGTATGACCCCCCTACCAAATCCCATCATTATATTAATTGACCCTGGTGTTATTTCTTCCAAACACTGTTCCAGTCATCTTCATGATAGATCACAGATCTATCATTGGATCTGTGAAGAGCAGCTATTCTTCTGCCACCCCCAGTAGAGTACTGGCAGAAGAACACCCTGGGCCTTTTTGGCTATGAAACTTACATTTCCACTTCCCTCTGGCTGCAGAGACACATTACAGACTACTCTTCCATCCCACACTGTTCTCATTTTGTTCCCTTATTAAGAATCAGTGCCTCTTGCAGGACAGTTTCATTTCCTTTTGGCCAATTTGGTCCTCCTAGGTACTATGTGGAGATATGACTAGGTTCCTCTTACCTCCTTTTGAAGCATTATGACTTACTGTAGCTTATGTTCCTTGGTGATATCCCAAGTTATGGGGGGCAGAGGCATACTTGGAAGTATAAGCACCTCCTTTTTTTGTTGAATTCTAGGTTCCTTCGTGCCCCTGTCCCACCCCACAACTACTTTTGTGGGTTTGGTAATTTGCTAACATATGAGAATATAATAAATAACAAACCTACATTTTGAGCAAAACAATAAAAATCACCAGTAAGACCTATGCTGTATATTGTGCTCAGACATACCCACTTGAATAAAAAAAGAAAAGAAAAAACCACTTACTGGGATTATATGTAGTGAAAACTTACTATGTATAGAATGACTTTCCCTACCTATCCTTTAGGCTTCCACTTTTTCTTTAATTCTTAAGTTACTATTAGATATGTTTTTTTTTCCACTTGGCTACAGAAATCTGACTATAGTAGTTTAACCAACTAGAGGTTATTTTTTTTTTGACTTACATATCCGCTTGGGAAGTAGGCAGTCCACAACTGGTAGCAGCTTCACCATGCAATTCCATCCTTCATATGTGGCTTTTATCTTCATGATCCAGAATGACTATACATCATAGAGGCTCATGTTTATACTTTAGTCAAGAGAAAGAGAAGGGAAAGGGGGAAAATGTGTGCTAGCTAACTACCTCTCATTTTACTAAACAGGTTCTAGCCAGGAACTTCTGATTATTTCAGGGATGCTGGGGAAAGTGGTGTATAGACTCTGGATACACTGTTGCCCTGCGCAGAATTTGGGTTCTATTAATGAGGAAGGAATGTTTGGCACAGGAACATAATACACATTATAATCATTACTTTTTTTTTTTTTTAATAGCTGGCTCATCCTAGAAGTCCAACTCAAACTGTGCCACTCTCCACAGGCAACTTTGACCTATAAGACTGATGCCAACTCTGATGGACTCCATATGATGATCCATAAAATATACACATAAAATATTGACAATTTTTTTAAATTAGTGTGGTATGTATAAATAAGTATATTTGTATATCATTCCATTTGAAGAATTAAAAAGAAGAGATGGAAAAATACAATCCCCAAATTGATGGTTAACCTGGAATTTCGCAGTATGAATTGGAGAGGTAGTTCAAATTTATATAGATAATTCTAATTTGTACTCTGTATGTATACTTATGGCATTAAGAAAATAATGTTGTTACCATTCATCTTGGGTACTCTTGGGTAATTCAAAAGAAAAGTATTTCAGTCTATAAAGCACATGTATTCATTAAGTGCTTTAAATTTGATCAATAAACAAGAACCTCCATATTTGTTCTCTGTTCACCACAGAGAGTTAAGAAGTAAGAGTGTTCCCCTATCCAACCCAACTATGTTCCAATGAATTTGAAACAAAAGCTTCACTGAAGTCTTAGAATGTATCGTTTCTAGTATTATAAGTAGGTACTTATATATCTGGTTCACTGAAGTCTGAGATATTCCCAACTTAGGAGTTTGCTGCCCACATTCTTGAAGCTAAATACAAATTTCATAAAGAACTCAACATAAACCCTGTATTTTCCACAATGTCCTATGAATGATTCTCTAAGGTTCATAAATATGTTTACTATGAGACCCGATTTCTGTTTCAATTCAGAAACTGTAATAATACACACATCACTGGATTTTATTCTTTCCTGCTAGTTCAGAATTGCCAGATTTAGTAAATATAAATACTTGACACTAAATCAAATTTGCATTGCAGATAAACAACAATAATTTGCAAGTATAAACATATTTACATTGAACAATGAATAGTTTCTTGTTTTTCTTTCAGCATTAGTATGTCCTAACTACTGCCTGGGACATACTTATACTTTAAAAACTGTCCATTGTTTATTTGAAATTCAAATTTAACTGGGCATCCTATATTTAATTTTATAATCCTGTCAATCAGTCCTCTACAAAATTGTCAAGTATTTCTGGAAGCACTAAGTTGTGAGACATGTCTGCCTAGCACTGAATACTATTAATTCAGCTAGGATCCCCATCACTAATGTGCAGGGTGTCTCAGAGGAAGAGAAAATCTCATTAGGATGGGAGTAACTGAAAGTGTAGGATTAGCTAAAATGTTAATGACTTCCTCTGCAATTCCAAGAAAAGGGATAGCAGTGCTTCATGGTTAGGAAACAGGGTTTGTAGAAATTGAACTTTCTGCCTTGACATATCCCTGTTAGCTTAGGCTATAAAGATATTTTAGGGCTTCCCTGGTGACCTAGGGGTTAGGTGTCAGCACTGTCACCACTATGGCCTGAGTTCGATCCCCAGCCAGGGAACTGACCCACATGGTGCAGCAGACCTCCTTTCTCATCTGCTGCTCCCCTCAGCAGTGTATTCCAGTAGATCTACCTGTTCTGCTCCCATCTGTCTCTGGTGAATCATTTCACCTCTCTCCAACCTCTGGCCTATACCCCTGTTCTTCTGCGCAAAAATTTAAAAAGACATTTTAGAATTTTCCCAGAAATGTCTACATTTCCACAGATAATACTGCTTTAGATGCCAAATATAGTGTTATGGAAAGTTGCCAGTCTGGAATGCAGACCTGGAGACAATGTCTTGTTTGCATGAGATCCATGATTATGTTTACAACATAAATTAAGATGAAAATGAAGTTAAGATACGTATCTGCTTCTAGTAAAAGTTTTAAAGAACTTGCTAGCTTTTTTTAATTATGTAAGAATAAAAGGAATGAGTTCTGAGAATAAATCAGTTAAGTATTTGTAAGAGAATATTTTTTGGGACACTTTCAATGTTTATGATATTACTAAGCCACCATGTACTGTAGCAATTTAATTTAAATGATTTGATTGTTTTTGTTCAATGAAGTTTCTTTTAAAAGAAGCTATAGAAATCTTATAAACATACCTAAAGCTGCTATTGCCATTGTACCAGTATTAACCTGTGTTCTACTACTATCTTTTATTATTTTTTATATCAGGTTTTATATTATATCCATTTGAGAAACCTATCATGCTTTGGTTTTATTAAACTATGATCATTTGCTTCCAGTGTTTGAGATTGAATGAAAACTAGAAACTAAAAACAAACAAGGTGCATTTGACTATTTTAAGTAAAGAACAATGAAAATAAACAACTTTTGGTTTTTCTCCCATAATGTACTGGGTCCCTCTGCTCTTTGCTACCATCCTGGTAGCCTCGGTTCTGAATTCAGTTTCCCAGGATTTGTTGGGTTTAGTTTTGTCTGTTTCTCTGTTTTGTTTCTTTATATTTCATATGAATGGAATCATCAGTATTGACTTTGCTCCTTCTGACTTGCTTTGCTTAGCATAATTGCTAGTTCTGTGCATTTGTCCCAAATGGCAAGGTTTTATCTTTTTTACAGCTGAGTATTTATGTTACATTTTTATTCATTCATCTATCATTCATTTGGGTTGTTTTCTAATTTGGCTATTGTAAATCATGCTTCAATGAACTTAGAATATGTTTTATTGTTAACAGACAGTAGATTGTTTTTATTAATACCGTACATGCCAATGTGAACATTCTTGAACTTGTACATATATTAGACTTTCAATGGTAAATTTAATGTCATATATACATGTTGGTTTTTAATGATGCACACCTAGAACATCATATGCAATGTTATTTCAATTTTAAAAATGTTGTGGAGTGGAACTGCAAGTTAGAAAGCATTTCTATTTTCTAGATAGATAATGTCAAACTGCTTTTACAAGTGGTTTTATGAAGTCATAGTTTCTTCAGCAATGTGTGAGAGTTCTATTTTTTTTAAAGATTTATTTATTTATACATACAGAACTGGAGTACAGGCCAGAGGTGCAGAGGGGTAAAAGGATTCACTAGAGGCAGAGTGGGGAACAGAACAGGCAGATCCACAAAATACGCTGCTGAGGGGAGCAACAGGTGGGTCAGAAGAGGTCTGTCATGCCACTTGGGTCACCTCTCTGGCTGGGGATTGAACTCATACTGCAGTGGCTGCAATAGCTTTATAGTGCTGTGTTTTAACTTGTTATGCAATCAGGGAGAGTTCTTACTGTTATTGTTTTCTTTGGAGTCTTTTCTATCTGTTTTGTCCACATTTTGTTTGCCTGGGAAATCTGTACAATGTATGTGGTTAACACACATTTTTGCAGATTTGTAAGTTAAGGTGTTAGAATCAGCAAAGTCATATACTGAACATAGCAAGTAATCTACATGCTGAGAATTACAGTATAACTTATGTGGATAAATATACCATTTCTTATTTCAATTTATTTTCAAAGAGAAAATATGGATATATAGTATTAGAGGAAGAAAAAGAACAAGTAGACAAATAAAAGAATATTTAAATACCATTAAAAACCCTGAACCTTTCTTGTTAGTAAATTATAATTCTTAGAATTTATAGTAAATTATAATAATTCTTGTTAGTAAATTATAATCAATTGACAATTTATGGAAGCTTAGATAGATTAATCTTTTAAAAAACATCAAAAGAATTTCCATAAATTTAGTATCTGTCTCCTCATAAAGTTACAAGTATACTTCTTGTGATGATGACCCTTAAGATCTACTCTCCTAGCTACTTTCAAATATACAATACAGCATTGTTAAGTGTAGTCACCATGCTGTGCATTACATACCCAGACTTATTTTTATATGGAATTTTGTACCTGTTGATCACCTTTACCCATTAACCCCTTTCCCCCATTTCTGACAACCATCATTGTGTCCTTTTCTATGAGTTAGGTTGTGTTACAGTACACATGTATATGAGAACATATATAGATAAGATTATTCTTGACAAGAATTTAACATAGAGACATATACAAATTAATCTGCTTTATCATTTTATTGTCATTTGGCATTCCATGTAACAACTCATTAAACAAATTATTTTAAGTTCATTTCTACTTTACTTTGAGTTTTTCAAAAAAGAAATCTCACTGTTTAAATTTGCAATCAACTAAATAAAATACTGAGTTAAGGCTTTCCCACATTTCTTCAAGGAAGGTATTTTTTAAAATATTACTAAAAATTAAAGTAAGTATTCATTGTAGAAAATAGCTATTAAAAATAAAAGCAGGGCCCTCCCTGGTGGCACAGTGGGTTAAAGCACAGCACTGTGAAGCTAAAGCCACATCCACATGAGTTCGATTCCCACCTGCCCCAGAGGTGACCACATGGCGCGGCAGACCTCTCCTGACCCGCCCGCTGCTCCCCTCAGCAGTGTACTACGTAGATCTGCCTGTTCTGCTCCCCACTCTGTCTCTGGTGAATCCTCTCGCCACCCCTGAGCCTCTGGCCTGTACCCCAATTCTGTATGTACAAATAAATTTTTACAAAAAATAAATAAAAGCAACTGTCGACCCCCAAAAAACTTGCACATGTTTTGTAGCAGATTTATTCATAATTCCCAAAACTGGGTAGCAACAAAGATGTCCTTCAGTAGATCATGAATAAACTGGTACATATAGATAATGGAATACTGTTCAACAAGAAAAAGAAATGAGCTGTCAAATCATGAAAAAACGGGGAAGAGCAGCCATTCTTCCTGCCTACTTGTGTCTTACAGGCATCTTCTCCTTTCTTTTTCCTAAAAAAACCTGTTAGAAATGAAGGGAGGGAGAAGGGGAAGGAGAGGGAAGGAAGGGACCTGAGGAAACTTAAGCAAATTTCTGAGTGAAAGAAACCGGTCTGGAAAGACTGTGTGACATTCTGGAAATGGCAACGCTATGGAAACAATAAAAAGATCAATAGTTTCCAGGAGATAGCAGGAAAAGAGGCATGAATAGAAGGAGTACAGCATAGATTTAGGGTAATGAAACTATTTTACATGACACCATAGTGGCAGATATACATCATATACATTTTTCCAAATCCATAGAAAGTACATCAAGAATTAACCATAATGCAAATCGACT